GTATTTATTTTTAATATGTGTATTTTATACTTGTTTTAATGTTTCAGATATTGTTGATTTCACGAGAACTAGACTGCAAGTTAAACAACTTTCCACTCGAAATTGTTTGTCTATTTAAAATATTAAATTTATTAGAAAATACATTTAGTTTAAATACAGTCGGAATCATAAAAATAACTTCCAACTGCCACGTATTTCGGCTGACACACTTTTCCTGTTACCCACGGCTTGTTAGCAGACAGAGAAATTAGTCATCCGACACTGCTATCCATTTCAATTTTATTTAAATTGAGTTGTGCGCGTCTATAATTTAATTCAATGAATGACTTAATAATAGTTCTACAAAATTTAAAAAAATCATTAAAAATAATTTTATTACCAAATAATTTCCGAAAAGTTCAATGAAATTTTATTATTATCTGTATTTTTTCAACTTTACGATTTGACTGCACAGCCTGGGGTAAGGGTTGTCTAGATTGTGTGAAAGAGCAATGTATTATTTCAGTGTTTTATTCCAAAGTTATTCGAACTGTGTATGTGTGCTTGTGTGTAAATTAAGGCACGTGTTAGTCACTCACGCATAACACGGACGTACACGTGTCATGTACACAGAAATACAGATGTCATGTACACAGACATACACATGTCATTTACACATCCTCATTCTCTTTATATTCCATTGGTAAGGAGGAAGTGCTCTTCGGACAGTTTTTCTTTTCTTTTTTTTTTTTTGTCTTGAACTCTTCAAGTGTACGATCAACCGTTATCTATTCTATATATACTGATATTCTACAATTCCTAAGTCTATAAAAGAGCCCTATACATTAATCCTCTTTTGGTCTTGTACTGAATGAACAAAAGCGTAAAAACCATATATACTATAAATATACTCGTAACTATAGTCACGTACAGTGTGCGACGGACAGCGATACACGTTCTTTATTTAACTAGAACATTTTTTACAACCAATCAGGCGCGTGTTGAAACCCTCACAGTGTTTATTATTGTTGAAGTTATCGATATCATTTTTGTCAAAAATTACAAACTCTACGTTTCGATCAGTTTCTCAAACTGATTTGTTTGGAAAAATACTTTGAAAAAGAGCCCAGCTTTGCGGTTTAATAATTTCTTTTTAATATTATAGGGCTTCATGGTAAACAATATCTTTTTAAAAAAATTTATTTTCTTCCTTTTTAACAGCGAAGAGTAAATTCTTAGGATTTCTTACACTTGCGCATGCAACATACAACTGGTCATGCATAAATATTTCTTTCTGGATCCAAATTCCAACTTTTTGAATCGTTTGGCTTTGTGATTTGTTTATAGTCCTCAGAGTGAACTGAAAACTGGATTCTTGTATATAGAAACTTAAATAAATGATATGCAAAAAAAAAATATATATTTCAATTTCGTTACGTAAGTATTTGTTATTTTATTCATTAAATTGCTTTTAAAATATTGTGCTTTTTACCTCCTTACCGGTTTGCACTTCACCCCAAGATTTGGTTTCGATATCTGGCTATTTTAGAGGGTGTAACGGACTAACGGAATTCTCAGAATTTTATATATAGATTATAGATTAGTCTTGTCTTTTTAATTCAAAATCTTTATATTTACGAGATCCACATTTTTCTATCTTGTCCTACTTGTGAATTAGTAGGGTGTAGAATTGTATACAAACAAAAGTGAAGAAAAGAAAACAAAGCGGAAAAGATTTTTTGGACTCTGTATGCTACGTTGGCATCTTCATGTTGGAAGGAAAGACAAAACGGTGCTAGTTTTTGTATTAAAACCGTTAATTTCTATTGGATTTGAAATCAGCCCACTCCGAATAGATCTCTGGTTTTTGTAACTTCGGTGATCAGCCGAAAATTAGTGTTTCGACGTAATATGGCCGTAAGCCAACATGAGACCACATCACTTAAATCATCTGAACAAACCACATTCAACCAATTAGGAAGTCTTCAACAGAATATCCCTATTAACATTTTCCCCAAATCCATTACTCTACATAAACAAAGTGTGCCTCGTGATCTTCATAAATCTAACGCGAAAGTATGATTAGATTCGAAATCCCTTCATAAATGTTCCTTCTAATATTAGATTTCAGTTATGTGAAGAACAAGAATTGGCCACCATTTCTAGTGAACGAGGAACCAAAATAAAACATTCGACAGTACCCATTGATACATTTTCGATTTCAATGCAAAAGGAATATCCAACATTATCTAAGAAGGCTTTATTAATTTTATTGCAATATTCTACTTCTTATTTATGTAAATTGAGCTTCTCATCCTGAATAATATAAAAAATAAGGAGCAAGAAAAACTACGCTCAAGTGAAGAAAAAAGTGAGGGTCTGCTTAACACATTCGACCAAACATTGAAGAAATCGCGAAAAATACAAAACAAAAAAAAACACCAAATATAGGTTTCCCACTAAATAAGCGGCATAAACTGTTAAATAGAAACATTAAAATAAAGTATGTTCATATCTGTCT